CTTAAATTTTAGGTGGGAACCAGGACTATTCAAAGAATTTTGACTGGACAATATACAGTCAAAAAACCTTTAGGCCGACCGAAAAAGACATGGACCGAATGTTTAAAGAAGATTTACGACAAATTTGGAAATAAAATTCTAAAAATAAATATTTTACATTACAAACATTACTGACATACGCAAAAGAAGATTTTGAATTTAAGGGAGGGCAAACAAGTTATATAAAATTTTAAAATCTATGGGATATAAATTTAAAGCAGTAGATGGACGCAAAATTTTATGTGAGCAGAAACATGTTCCATGCTGCCAAAATTATATTTTTGCGGAAATACCTCCAATATAAACATTCAAACGAAAATATCAAATTCGTGTATTTAGATGAAACTTGGATCTACCAAAACGGATCTCAAGTTCGTCGATGGATACACGAATCTGATATGAAAAGCAACCCATCCAAAATTAAGTCAGAGGGGAAACGTTTTACTATTTTGCATGCGGGGAGTGGTTCTGGGTTTTTAGATGGGTGGGATTTTTTTCTAGATTCAAGAAACAATGACAGAGACTACCATAATACCATGAACGGGGACATCTTCCAAAAATGGGTCGTTGATCAACTAATTCCTGCATTGAATATATTTGAAGAGAAATGTGTAATAATCATGGACAACGCTCCATATCATTCAGAGCGGAAGGATAAACCACCTTCATTCTCTTCAAAGAAAGACAAAATGCAGGAATGGTTGGTTAAACATAACGAAGACTTCGACACAAAAATGACCAAAAAACAACTATGGGACCTAACTCAACCATTTCGGAATAGACCAAAACAATACAAAATTGACGATATTTTGAAAAGCCACGGACACGAAGTTCTTAGATTACCTCCTTATCATTGCCAATATAATCCTATTGAAATCGCATGGGGGTTTTGTAAGAACTTCTATAAGTGACACTGGATAAAATACATGGGCAACTTACCTTTCAAAAATATTCCTCCTTTCATTATTTCTCTTCGAGAATCCGATTCCGAATCGGATTCAGAAATCTTGTCTGAATCTGAGGAGGTATCTAATTCTTCAAGTGAAATGGTGGAAGCTGAATAAGACGGACTAAAAACGGATCATCTGAATTTGAACTATTACTTTGACAAAACTATAAGGGGAGGGTGGATAGGATCGGGCCTTATGTAAAAATTGTCGAGATCTTACCCACCCTCCCATGCCTTACAAACCTTTCAAAAAGATAAGGTTTTGTTACAATCGATCCTGCAAGGGAAGATATTTGGAAAGAGGGGACCAGGAAGAATAAGAATATCGTGACGGAAAAATCTCAGAACATTGTTTGATAAAAGCTCGCCACGACTCTTCCATGTTGCTGCGAATTAAGTGGACATCGCCATAATAATCGATGATCGCCGACATTCATAAGGGATAGGCACGTCCAGGAGAAGAAGAAATAAAAAAATAAGAATAGAAGAAATGCCGGTGCAACCCGAAAAAAAAAGTTACTGCAAAAACATATTTATGCATTGAGCTTACTGTTATGGTTACGTTTAATTAATAAATTGAATAATTTTATTATTTGAATTTACTCAGATATTTTACACATTCTGGCAACTCGGCTTTTCATAACCCTGAAATTTGAATAATATTATGGCGTTTCCGAATGGTAGATCTAGTGCAGAACTAGTGCAATTTTTTCTATTCCTGTCTTTTTCTCCTACAGGTCGAATAAAAGGATGCAAATACACTCAGTGCGCACTGAATATACCAATCGGAAACGCCATTAGGCAATTCAATCCATCTGTCAAAACGAAAAATTCAATATGGCGTGGCGGCCAGCAAATTTGTTTTGAATATGTGTTTTCATGTATATTTTAATTATTTTGCTTCGAGCTTGGCTTGCAGCTTTGATTTTGATTATTCAATAAAATATTTGTTTACTAGGTACGTAAACTATTAAGTCAGGCAGAAACTAGAATTTTTTTTGTGTTTTTTGGTCCATGTGTGGCCGCCACGCCATCTTGAATGTCACGTGGTTTGAATTGCCTAATTTTGTCATCAAATGTCATTATTATACGAGGGTCAACCTGTCAAATTTCCATGGATAATGCTGCGCCAATAATAAGTGAAAAGCATATACACAGAACAAACAGGTAGAGTACCTACCTGCTTTTTACTGTGTTCTAGCCGATTTAAAAACATGCATTCATTTTTCGCGCCTATAAGCGCGAGTCGGCGCTGGTTACCGGTAAGCGGAAACCTGCTTGCACTATGTTTGTACACTAATGCTCAAACGTCAGCGCTATTAGAACGGTGAAAAGGGTGAACCCGATATTGATCGAATAGGGTCTCATCGTCCGGCACCACCTACGGAGGGGTACACTCGAGACAAGCACTTTCGCACAGACAGGTTATTCAGCGAGAATAGAAAAATCAATTTACGACTTTTCCCAAATTATAGGTACCTACCTTTTTTCATAAAATAAAATAAATGTTGATATGAAATTGTCAAAATTCTTTACCTAGTTCCACAAAACAACTGTAGCAATATTAAGTGCACCTGGATAACTGAACACCGTTGCTGTCTTGCAATGTATTTTTTTACCAAATCAAAAGTGATGGTACCTTGATTTTTGAAATACGTTATGTCTATGGCTGTTGCATGGGTACAGACCTTAACGTCAGTTTTTCTGAATGCTCCGAATGCTTTCCTGAAGTTAGACCATCTGATTATTCCTAGAAATTGTGGAAAACAATAAACGTTTTCAGCATTTGATTAAAAACTGTAATGAAATTCAAATTAATAATTAGTCGTGAAAGAATAATATGTCATGCCCCCGTTCCTAAATTGCACTGGGTAAACCTTTTCCGCGTTTTCCTGAAATTATTGCCATTCGTTTAACTTTACAAGCGATAATGCTGACACATCTCTCGTTGTCCTGGCCTGATGCTGATACATAGTCGAGCCAGTTCGACAATAGCCTCGTCGACGTTGCACACAATGGAACTCTTGTTCAGCAGTTTTATTTATCTGAGCTTAAACTGACAATGGTATTTTGAAAAAAATAATTATTATTCCAATAGAATGTTGAGAAGTTTCTAATTATAATTGAATTTTTCAAAGGACGTATAGATAGATTACACGTGGGTAGTTACTATACGTTATTTGAATGTATAAAAATCCTTAGATTTCTAACAAATTGAAAATAAATTGCGGCTTCTCCAAATGCGACAGCAGGCGCGGTTCCATAAGCCATCTCACGTTTTAAAACCTATTCGGCTTTATTACCATAGTAAACCGCAGCCAGGATGGGGCAATCATGGAAACTTTATTTAATCCATGTAGCATTTCCAATTGCAAGTTTGCCTCGTTGAATATAGAGCCATTTAAAAAAAAAAAAAAATTAATTAATTAGAGCGACTATCTTGAAAATCTAACAAACTTGGAACTGAATATCTTTGCAGAGATGCAAGAAAAGTGGCTTGCGAGATAAAACATCCGCCAAAGGAGTTACTTTTAGTTTAAGTAATCTTATTTCAAGCAATTTGGTTTTAAATTCATATTATTACAGAATGAGTAGGAGTCTTATCTAACACCCATGATAAAAGTCCTCTAAAAGTTTCGAGTTTGTTTCGTTAATGATGGATAATTTGTGATTTAATTTTTGAATGCATCGACGAACCGGCAACGGGATTTTAAGTTTATTAAAAGTTGTTACTGTTTGTGAAGTAAGTTTAAGTGAACCCGGAATTCGTGACAATATCGTCGATAGAAAAACCTTTCCAATATCAGGCAAATTTTTAATCTAGGTCCATTATCCTAATATACAATGATTCCTGATGAGAACACAAAGCAGAAGATTAATCTTCCACAGAAACGAAATCATAAATCTCCATTTGTTGCCAATTATTTTGTTCTGCAAAGCAACGCACCGTGTATATTACTATAGCCACGACCTGCATCAGGGAAATTAAAGCAACAGCGCCCTTCTGTTTGTAGCACAGAAATGGATCAAGCCATTAATGGGCGCCTTTAATTTAGGAGTTCGCTTCAAGATACTGGATTTTGGATATTGTGCTACATGGACCGCAATTAGTCTTCAAGCTTTGCGGTTTCTGTTTATGTTTAAGCAAATGGTAAGTTTGGAGAAATAGGGGGATTTACTGACAGCGAATATGAAATTGAAAAATCTTACCATTGCATATATCTACAGATCTAGGCTGTGACAACGTGAAACAATTTAACAAATCCAGTCTCGTTTATCATTTTTAAACCTAAATAGTCTTCTGAATTCGAATGAATCGCTAAAAAAAAATCGCCGAGGGCAATAAAGTATAAAACTATCTAAAACAAATATCGCGGCGTAATATTTCACCTCCCAGTTTTCCGTTTGGTCGTCCTCTCCTTTTCCTCGTCTATTTTATCCGCTGATTCAGGAGCGAAATCAATAGATCCATCCTCCTCCTGTTGGCTTATGGAATCTTGCCAAATGCCCAACCGTATATCTGCATAAGTACGTGGAATTCTTTCGTTGCTGCACTCTCTCTTTATTATACAATATCTAGAGCAGATTGAATTTTTAATGAATTGCCTTGTTAAAAATTATAGTGAATTTTACTTATAGTAATAGGATTTTTTGGCTCCTCTTCAAAACACTTTGGGAAGGAATTTCTATGAAGACCCAAACTTTCTCGATTTTCACATTTACTTTATTTCAAACATTCAACAACCAAGGTTTCTGTTTCTGTACTTACTATTTATTGTTGTCTTAGTCAGAAGTTTATATTATTACCAACTTAGAATTATGATTATTAGCACCCATGTATAATATATCTACAAACAATAGCGAGCTCTAAATAATGATAATGTTCACTTATTTAAATTTTATTGAGAATCGTGAGACAGTTTAACAAGTATCACACTGGGAGAAGATTTAAGTTACCCGGTTGAAGCCCTATAAAAGCGAGCGAATGTTATTCTTAGTGTATTGTTTCAACATGAAGACCTACATGGTAAGCATAGATTTAAGTTACGTGATATTAATTTGTTATTAGACATATAAACTTTGGCCACCAAAATTACAGTTCATTTGGACAAGAACTTCTCGCTGTGCTTTATTACTTCTACATTTATTTTCTGTGCTAAAAATGCCTTAACCTAAGTAACCGGCCAATGAGTTGACATTTACTGAAGTTAATACTTAATGAGTGTTTCAAGAAGCAAATTACTCACAAATTAAAATTTGACGCACCACTTTGCTAAACATCGAGTGCGTAATTGCTACTCTTAAGTCTCATTTGCTATAATTTATTTTCAATGAGAATTTTACATTTTCAATTTATTCATCTTTCTTTACTTTAATTTGGCATCCCATCATCCTTGGGCATTTTGAAGTATAATTGGGGGCTTCAGGATTTCAGGATTACAAATATACCTACTCAAATTACCATTGAACAAGACTTGAATTTGATATTATTGAATTTAAGAAATTGTAGCCCAATCGTTATTTTATTTCGACTTCAATCTGTTTATTTTCGGTTTATTGAATAGCTTTCGTGTAGGTACCTACCTACTTATATCTATGTTAATTTGAAAACCAATTTTTCAACAATAAAATGCTAGCGCGTTTTTGAGAACTGGGGGATGGTTTGAAATGAATTGGAACGTGACAAAGAGAAGAAAATTGTTTAAGAAATTGACTTCTGAAGCCAACGCATTATAGCAAACTTTACAGGGTGATACAAATTCGTAGGTATAAGAATGAAAATCTCATTGTTTTTGCTATTAACATTTCTTCTTTGATAGGCCTAAAAACAAAGCGTCGGATTTCAAATTTGATAATGTTATCTTGTAAAGTAGTTAAATTGGTAATGATGAAGTAGATACTTTGAAATATTCTTATAAATAAGCTCAGTAAAAAATGAACACTATGTAGCAAAATTGAGCACGAAATTATGCAACTTTGCCTCCATTTAACCGGACCTGTATCGTATCTCTCATAATTATCGAAATTTTCATACTTACTAACGAAATTTGTAACAATTTGTATAGGTAGGTACCTACTTATTAACTTCTTTTTGTTATCAAATTATATATTTTGTTTATAGATACTTTTTCTCACCTTTACATTGGCGTATTGCCAATCTCTGAACAACGAATATCTTCCACCAAAAGAAGCTGCTGCTGGGGGTGGTGCTGGTGCTGGATATCCCAAAGGTGGTCCCAGTACACCTCAAAACCTGGACGACCTCGCTGCTAAATTCGGTTATTCCAGATCATGCGCCAGCTGTATCAATCCTGCTGCTCAGGATGGGCCACCAAAAGCGCCCTAAATTATTATATGTGTTGATGTGTTTTTCGTAATAAACGTTATTGATGGTTTTTATTGAACAAACTGAACTTTATTTTACTATAGATACAGGATATTTTCATAGTTTTTCTGGAAGCATGTTCCATGGGATGTTTTAAGCATTTTCTGTCGTAATGACGGCAGATCTTAAAAATCACAGCGAAACTAATTGTGCAGTTTAAAAAAAATATACAAAGAAAATTCAAATATACTCTGAATAAAATATGAATGAATGAATTGAGGGTACTGTTAGAATGCGACCTGCATAGATCTACCGCATCCCATCCAGCTTTGAAGCTTTGATGAAAGCAAGTAGGCTGGATGGTTTTATGGATGGAATTTCTTCCCATATGAATCATATGTTCGTGATCGCTCTCGATCGAATCGCACTCCATGACATGCTGTTCTGGAGCTTCCTCCCCTTCCTTAAGAGGACATAACCAGTAGCTGTCCGAGAAAAAGTAGGGGGTCCGAGAAACATCTTTGATTGCCGCAACCTTGAAAGTTGTTCCCAGAGGCTGGATCCTTTTGGTTCGCTCTTCCTTTCTAAACGCTTCCTTATAGGTTTGCGTCCCTATTCCACAGAAAGGCTTTGGTCCCGATAGCGGAGTTAGTGCTCTCAATTTCGCCAATTGGTCCGCTTCTCAACTTCCTTAAACCAGAGACTATCGATCCGTATAGTAGGGTTGGTCTTACATGGTGTAGATCCATCTCAAGATCCCTGGTTTGTATCCCCAGGTTTTGTCTGCAAGGTTTCGGCACACCATGAGAGCCCTTGTAGCCTTGGTTACAAGTCCTTTAATGTGTCTTCTCGTCTTATCCATCCGTTTTTGCATTCCAGCATTATGCTGATGATATAGGTACTTGACTTCCGTCATCGGTGTAATAGTAGTTTCGGGTATTCGCATGTCCTTCATTTTAGGGAGTTCTCTCTCCTAGTGAAAAGCACTTCGGTGTTATTTGATGGGTTTGTGTAAGTCCAGGTTGTCTAGTATTCTCAGTAGTTCATTTACCCCTTAGCTCCACAACAGGGGTAAGCATATTCCGCCCTGGATCAGATATTTCTTTCACTCATGGACTTTTGTAAGACCTTCTGCCATTCCAGTTTTGGTGTTCCTCGTTTTCTTCTACCTGTTGGTTGCCAATGCAGCATTTTTCATGGCCACCTGGTATTTGGCATTCGTTCTACGTGTCTGTACCAGAAAAGTTGTTTCCTTTCAATGTCGTCCTGGACTATCGTGCCTTCTATTCCCATTTATTGTTTTATATAGTCATTCCTTATTCTCTCTCTTCCAGAGATTCACATGGATCTTCTAATAGCATCCATTTCAACTGCTTCTACTATCTTCTTTTGTCTGTTTGTAATTCTCCAAGTCTCGGCTCCATATAGAAGGCTGTTCTTTATCATTGTCTTGTATATATTGAATTTTCTCTTCTTTGTTATTTTCTTGCTCCATAAAATTCCATTTAGGCATCTCATTACTTTTTTAGCTTTTCTATTTCTTTCACATCTCTTCATCTATCTATCTAACTTAGATATCTAGTACTGCATACATCTGGTCAATTTCAAGATTATACTGTCTAGCTATTTCACACAAAAGAAATCGTTAGGTATGTTTTGTAACAAATTACTGATGAAAATGTTTCTCCCATGTTTGATAAACACCCTAGCTTCATAACGACAATTTTTCACATTATTATCTCGTTATGTTTCCAGACCTGATATGTGGTACTCGAATTTCTTCTTCGGGAGTTTGTTCATGATTCTGGCAATTAATTTTCAACTTAACGACGTTATTCAGATCCAGATCCAGATCAGATGTTATGAGAGGAGTTTCAACAAACACGCCATACATACCTAACAATCTTTTTCAAAACAACTTGATTTTCAATGTGTTCTGATTTAACATTTTGCAGAAACTTTATAGTTTCAATTCCACCAGGAGCCGTATTCTTGAATTTCTGGGAGGAGAACTTGTTCGGAAAGTGGACGTGGTCATCATCATCACTTCGAAAAGGTACATGTCATATTCTTGAAAATGGGACAGTGAAGTAGTGAAGTGAAAGTTTCCTGGAATTCTGAAGTTCCCATCCTCTTACCCAAGAGAAAACGAGTTCTCGCCAGGGTTTCTAACCTCAAGACTTGAAGTTGTTTTGGTTTTCTCCTTTCAAATTCAAGGTTTTTTTGGTTTTTGTATGTGTTGTCTCTTTTCATTAAAATGAATGTGGATTATTTTAATGAGATTATCTTGAATAGCACAGCATAATTCAAGAAGACATGAAAAATGCTACAGAAGCGAAAGAAATAGGATGGGATATTCTGCATCAAAGAATTCCTTTTCCCTTGACCAGAAATTCGTGAAATTTTTCACAGTAAGCAAAAATGTATGCCACGAAATAGTGGATATGGTTACTCCCTTATGTTACCGCTCTAACGCCAGTCTCGGCTTTAACCAAAATTACAAAGGTAGCTATGCATTGAACACAGTATTCCAGAAGTTGATGAGCCACACGAAGTTCAGGAACAGGAATACGGAATTAATACTGCGGAAAATTATATTGAATTTTCCCTCATGTATAAAAAAATCCCCTAGGAGGAATGCAATTATCTAAAACTCTTGTTCCTTTAGTGCACATATACAAGGTATGGGTGCTGGTGACAGTGCAGTTACCTTTACAATGTCAAACCACGGTGAGCATGTACAGCCCCAGGAAAATTCAATTTTCGAGAACCCAGGAGGCTGGAATACCTGGAAAAGAAGGTTCGAAAGGTACTTAGCAGTATCGGGGTTAAGTAATAGATTTGGTGCTGGAAAACATTGATATATTCTGATTTATATTATGAGGCCAGAGACTGAGAACATTATACTACAATTTTCAGCTCCTACACCAGACACTTTTCAATCAAGACTGGCTGGTTTTGATATATATTCTTTTCCCTAAGAAAAATGTGGTCTTTGAAAGGGCACAAGAAGGAAACAACAGCCAGATTGGGCCGAAGAAAATTTCATAACAGATTTGCATGTATTGTCGGAGCGTTCTGAATTTGTTTGCTCGAATTGTAGCTCTAGGGCTATGAAAAACGAGTCTATAAAAGATCAGATTGTCGATGGTATTTTGGACCAAAATTTAAGTGATAGGGTGCAGCTTAAATCTGATTTTAAGTAAAAGGATGCGATTGTAGAGGCAAAACAAACTGAAATGATCACTTTCACTCAGTGATATAAGGTCCTTTGATTTTCCTTGGTAAGGGGATCCGAGAAACATCTTTGATTGCATTAACACTGGAAGTTGTTCCCAGAGGCTGATCCATTTGGTCCGCTCTTCCTTTCTGAACGCTTCCTTATAGGTGTGCGTCCCTATGCCAGAGAAAGGCTCTGGTCCTGATAGCAGAGTTTGTGCTTCCAATTTCACCAAATGGTCTGCTTCCGAACTTCCTTGAACCAGAAACTTTCGATCCGTATAGTAGGGTTGGTCTTACAATCATGGTGTAGATCCATCTCAAAATACCTGGTTTGCATTCCCAGGTTTTGTCTGCAAGGTTTCGACACACTATGGAGCCTTGGTTACAACTCCCTCAATGTGACTTCTCGTCTTCTCCATCTGAGTTTGCATTCCAGCATTATGCTGATGAGATAGGTATCTGACCTCCGTCACTGGTGTTGGTTGTTGGTTGGTTGGTTGGTTGAGATGCAGAATGAACAGGCCTGATCAGGTAGCCCAAACACTGCAGCCGTCGGCTTATTGTATTGTCCTGTTGGTCTGTTTAGTCAGTGAAAAGTTTCCTGACCTTAATTAGGTTTAGGAGTGAGAGCCTCTACACCGTGTTACTTTTGGTGAGTTTAGAGATAGGGTCTTCTGGCCCTATCTGTCCACCAGCGTAAAGCACATTCGAAGATTATGTGGTTGGCGGTTTCATCCTCCTCGTCACAAAGTCTGCATATGGGTTCTTCTTGGAAGATGCCCATTGTGTGAAGGTGTTTTCTCAGGCTACAGTGTCCAGTTATTAGCCTGATTTAATTTCTGTTTAGTTGTAGTAAGTTTAGGTGATGGTTGTTGTACCATTAGCTTACTGTGTCTGAGATTCGGAAGAGTTTGCCAGTAAGTTTTGTGTTGTCTATACACCCATTGGTTTATTTTTGTTCTTACCGATGATTTTGTGGTGCCAATTACCAGTTCAGGAATAGTATAACTGGTTGCCGATCCTTCTCTTGCCAAAGCATTTGCTTTTTCATTTCCCCCAATTCCTTTATGCCCTGGCACCCATTTAAGGGTTACCTTGTTGGCCATGCATAGGTGTTTGAGGATTTCCAAGCATTCTCAGACAAGTTTTGATTTTATTTCAAAGCTGTTGGGTGCTTTGATCGACGCTTGACTGTCTGATCAGATAAGGATGTGTTTACCTGTGTATCCCCTCCTTAGGTTTTCTCTCAGACAGGAGTCGATGTCATATATTTCTGCTTGGAATACAGTAGTGTATTCTCCCAGAGGTTGACTGATATCGCACCTGGGAGTCTGTCCATATATTCCAGCGCCGGTTCCAGTTTCTTTTTTGGAGCCGTCAGTAAACCAGACAATTTCTGGTTTATGTGTCGCCTCGGTATTTCCTACTGGAACAATCTCCATGGCGAAGGGTTTTTCGAGGGATTTTTTCGGCATCATATAGTCGTTACCCATGGTTAAAATCGGGTTTGTGATTATTTTGGTGAGAGTCGCATGTCCATTTGGTTTTGGGTTCCGCAGGTTTCGTTCAGCTGGAGATGATATGCCCCGATTCTAGCCTCCGCTTTGACGATAAGGAATAGGATCGTTTCCATACTTGCCGTTGGTGTGCTTTTCTGTGCACCGGTAATACAAAGACATGCAAGTCTCTGGATTTTGGCTAGCTCCAGGTTTGCTTGTCTTTGGTTCACTTTAGGCCACCATACAAGTGCACCATATGTTATCATTGGTCTTACAGCCGTAGTGTATATCCATTGTACAACTAACGGTTTTAGTCCCCATGTTTTCGCAATCGCTCTTTTTAGTGACATCGTCATCT